GCGAAAATGTGTGTTTCACAAGTTTCAAAATTAAAAAAAAATATTCTGAAATAACTAAACAAACATTTTCTGAAAGAGTTTACTAAGGGCTTGTTAGGCTTTCACTTGGTTTTAAATCAATAAGATCCGATAATTTTTAACAAAGTTATTGGAATTCAAACTTACGGACAGCGGAAGGCGGGTGTTTTTGAAAACGACCCAAATAGAATTAAAAGTGTTTTAAATGTTCAAAAATATTTATTACCAAACTACCCATATCACGTTTGAGCTTCACCATATGGTAGTATTAATGCCAAAATCGTGTCTATACACCAAAAGGCCAGGATATAGTCAAAATAAAACTAGAAATAGACAAATTGGGGGGGTTTAAGTGTCGTATAAAACCCGCCCACCGATTAAGGTTGACATATTTCATTTACTTACCATACTACAAAAACAAGATGGACAAAAAATATTGTTGTTATTTAATAAAATGAAAGTTTCAAACAAACAAATTGCGCGTTTTTGATACATGTTGCCAAGTTTTTAAGCGCTTAGGTCAAAAAGTATGTACTTATTAAGTAAGTACTACTTAAATAAAATTATACCCATTAATGTTTGATATACGAGATAGGTACATGCAATTCATACTGAAAATAAAAAATAGGGAATTATTGATTATAATCAGCTGTCTAACGCGTGTGTTACAAACGAGTGTTTTTGAGAATAAAGCCGGAAAATGTTAAAAAATATCAAACAAAAAACCGTGGCACGATTTGTTGAGTTGTTGGGTGTATTTCGAGAGAAAATCCTGGGTTGAGTTTTTACCGGTTTTCCAATAAACAGTGTTAATCCGAATGAGAAGAATGAGAAGAAATAAATTGCATAGTCTCTATAAATATAAATTGAACCTATTAGATACAATAAATGCACATTTTAGTAGTGATTAACGTGAAAAGTGTAAACATTCCAATTCAGTAAAAATCGTCAAACAAATAAGTCGTCTAAATTCAAACAGCATTTAGCATTATTAAAAGCGTTGATTAAGAATTCTTTAAAGTCTCCACTCAACTGTAAAATACCATTATATTATGTATTATATATAATATTTTGTTGCCATGAATTCGTAGGTATATTTTGTTGTTTAAAATGCAGTTGTCGGCGTTTTTTAGAGAACTTAAATATAAAAATGGTTGATTTTAAGGTTATGTTTGTGCAAAAATTATTTTTCACTAATTTATTAAAAATGTCCAAACTTAAATATAAATTATATTAGGTAAAGTTATCATTAGTTAATTCTGCACCAACAAATGTACTTACCGAATTGGATCCTTTGGCAAAACATGAAAATGCAACGATTTAGTTCTTGAATTTTATTTGCAACGTAAAACACAAATAACGTGCGCGATTTAGCTGTGCAATTGAACAAAATTTGTCGAGTAAGACTTCTGCCTTCCTCTCTTTTGTGAAAAAACTACCTATTTATTTTAAAATGATGTACATTTCGTATTCTTTAAATGTATTGTTGACAATTCTTAAAAAATGGAAATTTAAGACCCAATTACCTAAAATTTAGGGGGCATTTTCTCCAAAATTTAATAGGTTTTTTTGACAAAAAAATATTACGAATTATTTTTTTTTTTTACATTTAAACGAATGAAGGTTTTAAACCTAAATCTTCGACAAAATTCGTAACGCAAGTCCTAAAAATAAATTTTTATTTATAACGAGCATTTAAACTAGCGGTATCAAATGATTTATTGGGCTATTAAAATAATGAGACAGACAAAAATAAAATAACTTAATAAATGCGACCAACTAAAATGTTACTTCAGTACACAAAACTAAATGGGACTGCTTGTATTTTTTTTACTTTGATGTGACAATTATTTTTAATTAATTTAGTTAAGAAGGATTGAAAAACATATCGGAAAAAAAGTTTTTGCACTATAGGACGAAAAAATAATAAAGTGGGTGGCGCTTCCTAATTTTTTATTGAGAAAGTTGTTATCTTGAAAAAAAAAATACAAAATTTATATCAACATTTTTTTCTAAGTGCTATAACTCCGAAACGGTCTGTCATAGGAAAAAAAAAATTATATAAATTTTGTAGATTTTTTTTATATAAACAACTTTTCTAAATACATTGCAGAGTTTAAAGAATGTTTTCTTGGTCAAAAAGCGAATAAACGCTTTTTTGAGTACTTCAGAGCAGCCTACTTGTTGTATTTTTAGTCATAGAGCACCCACCCAATGACATAAATTGTAGGGGACAAAGCCCTCTACATTTTTTGTTTTCAAATTTTTTTTCTAAAACATACCGTTTTCGATAAAAATGAAATACAAAAACTTTTTGAGTTTTTACCGAAAACTCATCGTGCTATAACTCTGAAACGGTCAATCTTAGGAAGAAAAACTTAAAATGAATTTTGTAGATTTTTTCAATATAAACAACTTTTTAAATTACAGTGCAGCGATAAAAAAATGTTTTCTTGGTCAAAAAGTGAATAAACGCTTTTTTGAGTACTCTAACGCAGCCTACTTGTTGTATTTTTTGTCCTAGAGCACCGACCCAATGACATAAATTGTAGACGACAAAGCCCTCTACATTTTTTATGTACAACTTTTTTTTCTAAAACATACCGTTTTCGATAAAAATGAAATCCAAAAACTTTTTGAGTTTTCACCGAAAACTTATCGTGCTATAACTCTGAAACGGTCAATCTTAGGAAGAAAAACTTAAAATTAATTTTGTAGATTTTTTCAATATAAACAACTTTTTTCATTACAGTGCAGCGATACAAAAATGTTTTCTTGGTCAAAAAGCGAATAAACGCTTTTTTGAGTATTTCAGCGCAGCCTACTTATTGTATTTTTTGTTCTAAAGCACCGACCCAATGACATAAATTGTAGACGACAAAGCCCTCTACATTTTTTGTGTACAACTTTTTTTTCTAAAACATACCGTTTTCGATAAAAATTAAATACAAAAACTTTTTGAGTTTTTACCGAAAACTCATCGTGCTATAACTCTGAAACGGTCAATCTTAGGAAGAAAAACTTAAAATGAATTTTGTAGATTTTTTCGATATAAACAACTTTTTTCATTACAGTGCAGTGATACAAAAATGTTTTCTTGGTCAAAAAGCGAATAAACGCTTTTTTAATTACTTTAGCGCAGCCTACTGTTTGTATTTTTCGTCATAGAGCACCGATCTAATGACATAAATTGTAGACGACAAACCCCTCTACATTTTTTGTTTACAATTTTTTTTTCTAAAACATACCGTTTTCGATAAAACTGAAATACAAAAACTTTTTGAGTTTTCACCGAAAACCTATCGTGCTATAACTCCGAAAAGGTCTGTCTTAGGAAAAAAAAGTTAATATAAATTTTGTAGGTTTTTTCAATATAAACAATTTTTTAAAATTAAGTGTAGCGTTAAAAAAATGTTTTCTTGGTCAAAAAATGAATTAACGCTTTTTTGGGCTCTTCAGCGCCACCTACTTTTTAATAATAATAATAATAACGTTTATTGTGAAAAAATTACTTTACACAAATGGTCGAGGTTCTCACTGAGATCTTCCACCTCGCCAGTGACTTAATTAAGTAAAATATTTAACAAAAATATGTGAACAATCAAAACAAAAGGAACAAAAAAAAAGTCTATCATAATAATCCCCAAGATAAAAGACATGTATGATGTTTATATATATAAAAAAATATATATATATTCTACTACAATAACATAAATACAATATATGTACGAAAATAAGTACCCATAAAAGAACAATAAAAAAAAGAAAAAAAAACTAATCCATTTCTCGTATCCGGGTTTTAATAACATTTTTAAAGGTATAAGTTGGCAGTGATAAATAATTATAAAACATATTAAGTAATTTTGGGGCCATATAAGCAAAAGTGCCTTGAAATTTATTGGTGCGATGTTGTGGTATGTTAAATGTGTTACTTCTTAAATTATGAATGCTCATCCTTAAATTTATTTCTTGTAAAAGATATTCTGGACTATTATTCTTTAATATTTTGTGTAAGAAGACACCATATAAAACTGTTGATCGTTTGTCAATTTTTAATTCATTATTCATGTATGGTGTTACGTGTTCTCTAAAAGGTATGCAATAAACATATCTCATAGCTGAGTTTTGTATTTTTTGTAACGTATATTTAAGTTCTTGCGTTAAAAAATAATAGTACACAGAGTTACAATACTCAATATTTGGATATATTAAACTTTTAATCAATTTTAGTTTTGTACTTGGATTTAAAAAGTGTTTTAGACGGTATAACATTTTTAACTTCATCATACAAGTGGAATATACTTTATTAACATGAGTTTCGAAACTGAGTCTTTCATCTATAATAATGCCTAGATTCTTTGCTGACTGCACCCATTTTATGTTTTGATCTTGAATCATTAGGTTGTTAGATTTTAGGTCAATTAGATTTTTTAATTTATTATTTAAATATGTCGTTCTAGAGCATCGACCCAAGGACATAAATTGTAGAATACAATTTCCCCGACATTTTTTGTCAAAACTTTTTTTTCGTAAAACTTACAGTTTTCGAGAAAAAAGGATCCTTTAAAGTTGGGGTTATGATCCCCAACAATTCATGCAAAAAATGACGATGGCAATTTTTTTCCGAAAACAAATTATACTTACATATTTTTTTTACAAATTTCTAAATATTTATTTTTAATATGACTTAAATTTTACAGAGTTTAAGGCTTATTTATAGTCATAAATATCCAAGTTTAATGTTGACAGATATTTTTGGATACAAGTTGACATTAAGAGCTTTTCAAAATAGCTGCAGAGAGATGTGTGAAGTTTTTTTATTTTATTATCGTGATAGTCAGCATTTGACTCAAATAATTTGTTCAATTTAATGGTCTTATGTTTAGGATTAAGTTTATTACCACTAAAAATAAAAAAAATTGCTAAAAATAGCCAAAACATAAAATGCATTTTACTTAATTTAATTTTTGTTTTTTTTTCAGTATTTGACCCCCCTTCCACATCAAGTTTGGACTGTCTAAACTTAATAGTTCAAAGTATAACCAACAAAAAATCTCAACAAATTTCTAACAATGAACCTACGTAATTTTATTATCTACAAAAAAACCTAATTTATTTTATTATTTAAGTTACAATTAAAAATTTTACCAAAAACCTTGTTTTGTTTTATTTTCCTCCAAAATAAATATGGCAACGCTGTCTACTAGTCTGGATTTTGACACAATATAAAAAACAATGCCAAAACAATTGGTATACAATAGAAAACAATGAAAATGGTCATTTATAAAAACCATCTACATATTAGTATGTCTACGATAAAAACATTTTTTCTATCGTGGTAGAAATACAACGTTGCCAAATCAATGCTGTTAAATGATCATTCGACTAAAAATAGGTAGATTTTGTCTAAAACATTTTTTCATATTTGTAATAGATGGCGCTGTAATGAAAAAAAATCAATTTTGTTCGATTTTCTTCTGTATACGATTCTGCAATAATTTTTCTATAAAAATATCACTTTTTTTGGTAATAATTATCTTATTAAATTAAATCTGATTTTGTAAGTACCCACGATTTTTTAACTAATATTTAAGTTTCCTTTGGTTTAAGTTTTCTACATTATTTCATTCGGTGATAATTATCAATTGCGCACCATGGTCACTTTTTACCTGCCAGCATTAAATCCTTTAATTTAAAGGATTATTGTACTATTTTTAATAAAAATACCTCATTTAAGGTAAAAAAAATAGTTATTTATGTCATTAGGTTAAGAAGTAAGGCTTTTTGTGCTAAGCTCAAGGTTTGAAGGCCGGCGCGTAGCGGAGGCCTACAATTGAGCGAAGCACAAAAAGGCACTTCTTGGCCGAATTGCATACAACATTTTATCTTCAAAGTACTTTATATAGGTCAATTTAATTCAACATCAAAGCGGCCTAACCTCACTTTTTTAGAATCTCATTTATTTATTAGCTAAAGATTACATTAAATGTGCAATAATTATTATTGCTTTTAGAAGCAGAAATAGTTTGACAATACCTAGCAACATGATTTAAGTAGAAATGGATTTTCGCTATTACATTGAATTCAATTAATTGTTTAATAAATAGGTAGGTATCTAATGTTTGGATTTTTATTTAAAAAATAAGTAGTTTGGAATGTTTAAGCTGTGTTTAACATTTAATTTCACTGAAAGCTTAAAGCAAATTAAAACTTAAAGATAATTTAAATCGTAGAAAAAGAATCGTGCGTTTTCTTGGTTGCCTAACCTCACTTTTTGTTTTATTATTTATATTTAATTTTACAATAATTTAATGAAAAATATTAAACATTAACAGTAAAACGAACAAATTATTATTATAAATAAATTAAACCAGTTTAGTACGTTAATTTCTTAGAAAAGGATTAATTTGTCAAAACAATACCCCTAGCAATAAAAAATCGAACTAATTACTTGCCTCATACAATTTTTTATCGGCCTAGGCCACAACAAGGTATTTCTTTATCGAATGTTGACAACAACAAAGTTTAAATTATAGACCGCGTGGAGAAGGGAAATTTGACCTTTTAATTAAGAAAAATTTACTTAATAATTAATTTTATTAGTATTTTTACAAGTACATTTATTTATATACAATAATTTACCTAAAATTAGTATTGAAAACACAAAATTTATTTTTTTTATTTGGATTGATTGTGCCGTACATACAAGATCACAATTTATGTACAGAAATATACAGAGGGTTTTTAAATTACCGCTAATTATTATAAAAAAATTGAAGGTATAATTTTAGAAAAATGGTTAGAGATAAACGTGAGTTGATTAACTCATTTTATAGGGAATTTAATGTAGAAAGATTTTTTTTCTATATGTTATATTTTTCAAGTAAACGTCAAAAAACTAAAATCTCAATGTTTAATTTAACGCCTTATATCTCAACAACAATTATAGTAAATTAAACATTCATTACATCATTTTGTAGATAATGGGGTAGTTAAATTTTTTCTGACCTATGTTTTTATGGTTTTATTCAAGGCGTTTTGTAATTTTAAACATTTCTGTGAAATCGGAATTTCAATTGAGTTTACCGTTTTCGAGATATTTACAAAAAAAATCTCCCAATTACGTCACTAGTCTATTGACAACGTTGCCAGCTTTTTCTATGGTTGCCATTGTGTTTAGTTTGAGATTCTTACGATAGATGGCGCCACGTTATAATATTTTAGTTTTAAAACCACTTGATCTATAATTTTAGTTGAGAAGAAGAAGAATTGATTTTTTGACGTTTTTTTTTCGGGTTGAGTTTTTTTAAATTTAGATTATTGAAAATCAATGTTATTGTTATGTTATTTGTAATTGATATTAGATAAGTGATTTATTAATAACGGACTCCAAAGCAGAGGAATCTTGTGGAATGGTTGGTTACATTGAACATTGGAGCTTTTAAACAAATAAAGTAAGTACCTATAATTATAATCATATTTTGTCGTAAATAAATGCATTTCATTAGTATAATGCCTAGTTCTTTATATTCTTTTAGATATATCTTGGACTCTAAAATATCAAACAGTAATATGATACCTCGTAATAAGGAAGATAGGTACTTAATGAATTTGGTGACCATCTTTCACTCAACTGACAGTGACAGTATTTGTACATAACCTCTTCGGGTATTTTCTGACATAACCGAATGAAATAATTAACAAAACAACTTGACAACAGGGTAATTTTCAACCAATAGAAATCTTAGAATGTTGGTCACATGGCGAGGTTTGTGACGTCATAATTTTTTGTAAATATCTCGAAAACGGTAAACTCAATTGAAATTCCGATTTCACAGAAAAGTTTAATATTACAAAACGCCTTGAATAAAACCATAAAAAGTATAGGTCAGAAAAAATTTAACTACCCCATTTCAAGATGAACAAAATCCTTAATGACAACTTTCTCGTATCTCCAACCGTTTTCGAGATAATCGCAAAACTAACAAAATCAAGTCACGTTAATTTCTTCGTCGCTATCATTGGAACTATCGTAATCCATGTTATCGTACAGTTGGTAGCCCTGCGGCATCAAATGCCCGGCATTCGGGATAAAAATTTATTTAATTAAAATACGAGGAAGAAGGGGAATTTGACCTTTTAATTAAGAAAAATTTACTTAATAATTAATTTTATTTAGTATTTTTACAAGTACATTTATTTATATACAATAATTTACCTAAAATTAGTATTGAAAACACAAAATTTATTTTTTTTATTTGGATTGATTGTGCCGTACATACAAGATCACAATTTATGTACAGAAATATACAGAGGGTTTTTAAATTACCACTAATTATTATAAAAAAATTGAAGGTATAATTTTAGAAAAATGGTTAGAGATAAACGTGAGTTGAGTAACTCATTTTATAGGGAATTTAATGTAGAAAGATTTTTTCTATATGTTATATTTTTCAAGTAATCGTCAAAAAACTAAAATCTGAAATTGCAATGTTTAATTTAACGCCTTATATCTCAACAACAATTATAGTAAATTAAACATTCATTACATCATTTTGTAGATAATAGGGTAGTTAATTTTTTTCTGACCTATACTTTTTATGGTTTTATTCAAGGCGTTTTGTAATTTTAAACATTTCTGTGAAATCGGAATTTCAATTGAGTTTACCGTTTTCGAGATATTTACAAAAAAAATCTCCCAATTACGTCACTAGGCTATTGACAACGTTGCCAGCTTTTTCTATGGTTGCCAGTGTGTTTAGTTTAATATTCTTACGATAGATGGCGCCACGTTATAATATTTTAGTTTTAAAACCACTTGATCTATAATTTTAGTTGAGAAGAAGAATTGATTTTTTTACGTTTTTTTTCGGGTTGAGTTTTTTTAAACTTAGATTATTGAAAATCAATGTTATTGTTATGTTATTTGTAATTGATATTAGATAAGTGATTTATTAATAACGGACTCCAAAGCAGAGGAATCTTGTGGAATGGTTGGTTACATTGAACATTGGAGCTTTTAAACAAATAAAGTAAGTACCTATAATTATAATAATATTTTGTCGTAAATAAATGCATTTCATTAGTATAATGCCTAGTTCTTTATATTCTTTTAGATATATCTTGGACTCTAAAATTCTAAACAGTAATATGATACCTCGTAATAAGGAAGATAGGTACTTAATGAATTCAGTGACAGTATTTGTACAAAACCTCTTCGGGTATTTTCTGACATAACCGAATGAAATCATTAACAAGACAACTTGACAACAGGGTAATTTTCAACCAATAGAAATCTTAGAATGTTGGTCGCATGGCGAGGTTTGTGACGTCATAAAAATTTATATTTTTTGTAAATATCTCGAAAACGGTAAACTCAATTGAAATTCCGATTTCACAGAAATGTTTAATATTACAAAACGCCTTGAATAAAACCATAAAAAGTATAGGTCAGAAAAAATTTAACTACCCCATTTCAAGATGAACAAAATCCTTAATGACAACTTTCTCGTATCTCCAACCGTTTTCGAGATAATCGCAAAACTAACAAAATCAAGTCACGTTGATCTCTTCGTCGCTGTCGTTGGAACTATCGTAATCCATGTTATCGTACAGTTGGTAGCCCTGCGGCATCAGATGCCCGGCACTCGGGATTTGCAGGCTTCGAGACTCCAGCGCCATCTGTTGATCGGTAGGCGAACTAGCAGGGGAGATGTCCTGAACGTCCGACAGGTCGAGTTTCGGTTTGTCGTCGGACGCGTCGCTTAGATCGGGGTTGGGGTTGTTCTTGTTAGGTAAAGTTTGCTCCCTGGAGCCTCCGGCGGCCAGCAATTCGCGTTCTTTAGAGTTGCGCCACTTCATGCGGCGGTTTTGGAACCAAATTTTTACCTGCAAAAATAAAAAATCCGTTATGAATACCTGCTTAACGAAAGGAGGTCTTTTTGTTTGCAAATTAATCTTAAAACCATTTTTTATACCTCAATTAAGATTAAATTAATTAATTGACAAAATAATGTTTTTTTTACATTAAATGACGTACTTTTATTAAAAATAGTACAATAATCCTTTAAATTAAAGGATTTAATGCTGGCAGGTAAAAAGTGACCATGGTGCGCAGTTGATAATTATCACCGAATGAAATAATATATCAAACTTAAACCAAAGGAAACTTAAATATTAATATTAATAGTATATTATGTATCAAGTTTGATAAACGCCATTTTATACACGAATTTAATGATTGTATAGAAAAGTTTAATATCGAGGTGCATAGGTACTATACTTTTTCTACGACAAATACTTATTATCTTAAAATGATTTAAATCAAAAATTTGTATAGAGCGCCATCTATGAAACAACAGGGGAAACTGTCAAATGTCACATTCTTCTTCTTCATAAATCTGAACACAAGTCCTGTGTTCAGAGGTAATGGCCTTTAGCCTACTTAAAGGCTATTTGGCCAGCTCATTATGTTTTAATTTAAATTTTACTATGACCAAGGGTCTCAATTAAGAGCGTCTGAGTTTACCTCATCCCTTGAATCATTTATATATATTTTCTTTCTACATACATTTTGTTACAATACACTTAAAATCATCCATATAAATTTTCTTAAAAATTATTAATTTTTTCACTTTTTCTTTCACATTCGTTTCTTCCTTCCTTCATATATATATAATCCATTTCTCCAACCATTTAATTATCAAACACATCAAAAATTAATTATTCATAAATATCTTTCGTTAGTTTTCCATAAAATCACTAATAATAAACAACATAGGTATTACATTTTTCATTGATGAAGCTCCATTAATTATTCCAACCATGCACCATGTGGGAGATGGCTGTATGCACTAATAGGTATTTCTTTAAATATTTCACCCATCCATCGTGGAATTTATTTTATTAATTACTTAATCTATTGTAGACTTTGTGTACTTGGCACTGATCAGCGTATTTTCGATATATTTGATTATTTCTATGCTGGGAGTCCCATATTGTCTGCTCAAGGAAGGCCGTCTACGACCTATCTGCTTCAACAGACAACACAAAACTGAAATGTCACATTCAGATTCACAATTTTACATTTTATAAACACAATTATAAAGGTTATAAATCGAAATGGATCTTGAAAATTGACAGTTTTTCACAGTGAAAGTAAAGGAAATGTTTTATGAGGACTTTACAGTGGAGTCCGTGCAGGAATTTAAGTTACAGTTGTATTCATTAAAAAAGCGTACAAGAATTAGAATGAGAGAAAACTGTCAACATTATTGCGTAAAACCGGCTTTCCACTGACTTAAGTCACTATAACTGACAGTAGAAAATAAAAATGCCTCGTCAGTTAAAAAGGCTCAAATAGTATTAAGAATCGAAGATGAATGGTCAATTCGTACTGTGGTATAATAGAAATAAAAAATCTATATTAAAAATTAAGCAACGCTGGGAACAGGAAGATTTACTAAACCAAAAAGTTGGTTCAGGTCGTCCCAAAATGTCCACTCCTGAACAGGATGCTGCTTTTTTGGGATATCTGAGGATTTATGGGAAACTATACAAATATACTATACCTACTATACTGCTGGGAAGATATTAATCCAAATATTGTATTAAATTTAATTCAGTTCATCCCAAATAGATTGGCTCAAGTAATAGAAAAACAGGGATGCATGACTAAATATTAAATATTTTTTAATGTTTGTTTTTTTTCATTTCTAAAAGGTAATAATTTTTGTAATATTATTTAATTAACCTACGACGTCAATGCTCTTTATAACCTATAGTAATTATTTTAATGACTTATGTCAGTGATAAGCCGGTTTTAAGCAATAATATTATTTTGACAGTTTTCTCTCATTCTAATTCTTGTACGCTTTTTTATTGAATACAACTGTACCTACCTATAGTTTACTGCCGGCGAAATTAAAAGGTCAGTACAATGTTCATATAAACTTTTCAAATATTGGCGTTAAGAAACTATTTAATATTTTTGTATTTTTGTATTGAGATAATAAAATAATTTTCACATTTAGTATTATTTTACAAGAAAGGCACTTTATTTTAACGATTGTATGACATTTGACCACTGTCAACTAACTTAAAACCAATTATAAAGACAGTTTTTCACAGTGAAAGTAAAGAAAATGTTTTATGAGCACTTTACAGTGGAGTCCGTGCCCAAATTTAAGTTATAGTTTACTGCCGGCGAAATTAAAAGGTCAGTACAATATTCATATAAACTTTTCAAATATTGGCGTTGAGAAACTATTTAATACTTTTGTATTTTTGTATTGAGATAATAAAATAATTTTTCCATTTAGCATTATTTTAAAAGAAAGGCAATTTACTTTAACGATTGTATGACATTTGACAACTGTCAACTAACTTAAAACTAACTTCACCCCGTGACTAAAAACCTGTTGCTAACTTCAGCCCGTGACTAAAGCGCCGTAAAGCCACAACTTGTCAATGTGTATTTAAAAGATCACTTAGTGTCATGGACATAAATCGTGGGTACTTAAAAATCAGATTTAATTTAATAAGATAATTATTACTAAAAAAAGTGATATTTTAAAAGAAAAATTATTGCAGAATCGCATACAGAAGAAAAATTTAACAAAATTGATTTTTTTCATTACAGCGCCATCTATTACAAATATTAAAAAATGTTTTAGACAAAATCTACCTATTTTTAGTCGAATGATCGATATCTGCAATAAAAAATAGGGTGTTTCATTAGAAATTTTAGTATTTTTGACTTTTTTAGATACAAACTACTAGTTAACGGCTACACCATAAATTTTTAACATTACTAATTAGTGATAATACAGACATATTAGTAAGGCCATCCATCTGTCAAAATTTTTGGAAAAAATCAAATACCTAGGGTATCTCAAAAACTGTTAAAAATAAAAAATAATCAAATTTTAGTATTTTCAGAATTTTACGTTGAATTAGTTGAATCACCCTGTATACATACATATAATTTAAGAAAATAACAATCCCACTTTTTGTATCTCTTATAATTCCTGATTTACCTCCCAAAAAGTAAATATTTACAATTTTCCCAATAATGCTATAAATCTGACAACACCGCTGCATAAAACTGTCAACACGACAAATTCTTTCGGACAAAAGCAATGCATAACATCAAATAAATAAGTAATGTTTCTATAGTATATTTATTTATTGTTTAAATTGAAGCAAAATATCCATAAAAACACTAAAAAATCTTATTTATAAAAGCAACTTCAAAAACTTTACGGCGCATGCGCCGATGCGGCCTTTTGACGTTTCTTTAAAACAATCGCTAAAAGTGACGCGTTTGTAGTTTTGGCACTTTTCGGTGTAAAAATTAGCGATTCAATAACAAAATCCATTAAAACCGTTTAAATAAGTGTTGGTGAGGATATTTTGTGTGGGATTTTCGTCGAACAGTGTGGAAAAACTGACTTTTAAGCTGTGACGTTTCAAGGTAAGATTTGGAGTATTTTTCCTGTATTTCCGAATAAGGATTATATTTATAACAATAACATTGTTATTTGATGAATAAATCAATGGTTTTATAAGCAAAAATTAATAAAAATAAGATTTATTTATGACTTTGTCTTAAAAAACAAAAGTTTTGGATATTTGATAGTTAAAATTGTAGCACAAACATTCCATCTTTTTTTGAATTTTTCATAATACCTATTTCTTGTAAATTAGACATACAAATAGTAATACCTACCTATATATACATAGTTAGGTACAAAAAACTGCAATGAAATGTCATTAAATCGTATTTTTTAACATTTCAAAAACAAATAACAATTTTTAAACCGTTTAATCGAAAAAATAATTAAATTATTCATTCGATTTGGTAGTGAAAAACGTAATTGAATTAACAATTAACAATGCTGTGGTTAAATTGAACAGTGAGTTGTTAAATTAATGTAGATAGTCGATTTTTGATTTATATTGCGTGTAATTAATTATTAATTAATTTGGTTTATTGAAAACTTAATTATTAATTTACAATGACAGCATTTACAAGCCTACTATGATAAGTAGGTACTACCTACTAAACTATTGGTTACGTGGGAAACACCCTGTGTGAGGCTAAAGACATAAAATCCTATTGAATTTAATTAAGTTGAGGCACCGTATTGTTTTGCCGTAAAATAAGGCTAAACGCCGCGAAATAAAAACTTAATTAATTCTTATTTGATGAGATTATACTTTCTCCCCTTTTGCAAAGAGCGCTGGTAAGGATTTCACCTTAGGGGGCGTGGTGTACATTTTAACCAATAGGATCGCGCCATTCTCCTCCCCTCACTTAGTTCAAATTTGTCTTCTAAGGGGTGGTCAAAGTCGTAGAGTGTATTTTAAGGGGTTTAAGAAATAAAATACTTACAATATGTTTTATAGGCATTACAGTTGAGTTTGGGGAGAAATTGTTTTTAAGAAAATTAATTGTGTTCGACATTTTCTAACCTTAAACAACATTGTCTTAAAAGAGAGTTAAATTTGGGTTTTCTCAGGTATTTTGTTGAAAAATGTTAAAAATTGACGAGGAATATTTATAACAATGTTTTAAGATTCCAAAAATGTCGCTTCCATATTGGCAAACCTAATAACAAAAAAGTTATAGGCTATTTTTGATTTCTCAAATTTTTACCAATAAAATGTTCCGTTAAAAAAAAATGCGATTCTCAAATAATTTGAAACAAAACAGAAAAACTCAAACCCATCTTTTCTTATTGATAAAAATAGCCATGATATTTGGGTGAATCTATAGCAATTAGTGAATACACTTTTTCATGTAGCGATTTCTTTGCACTAATTTATTTAGTGGAAATTACACTGTACAAATTAGTGAATTAGGTTTAGTTCAA